GTGTTGTTGAAACGTGAGTGTAACAATGGAAGGCTTTGTTTCGTATGGTCTGTCAACGAGGCTTTATCCGCAATCAAGTATAAAGTACGTAACTCCAATCTGGCAAAACAACCTGGAAGTTCCAAATACGTATGAGAAATACAGATACACCGAATCCACGCACGCACGCACGCACATACAGATGAACTCGACCCATGAAGTAAATCAGTATGACACTGCAAAAGGCCTTCTTCTCGCTGTTCAGGGAGGAGATGAAAGGATGCCTCAAAATGCCCGAGTACGGATATGGAACTACACTACAACGTGCAGTTGACCCCTGTCTGATTCTATACACACCCCCGTTTTCGTCACCCGAACCACCAGTAAGACCACCATTGGCTACCCACCTTCCACGTCCCACAGCGGCAGCCACACAAACAGCCACAGAATCACCCTGTCGTCGAAGCACCCCGTTACGTATCCATACCTCATGCAGAGGCAGCCGCGAGGTATTTAGATAACGCAGCCCAAAGTAAAAGCCCTTCATATTAAATCAACAAGCGCTAACTTGGTCGAAGAAGTAGTCAGTCAAACTAAGTATTTATCCATCTTAAACGTGATCCTGCCAATTAGTTAAGTAATCACCACGAGGCATGGGCACTACTACTTGGTACTTATCTTCTCTACCTTTCCTTAGTAATCTGGGCTGAGGTGTGGCGATGCTGTGCCACTGCGAACGAAATAAGGGTGTGGTTTCAGTGAACTGCAAAGTACAAAGTACGTCGTACATAGACAGGGGGGTGAGATATAAACCAATCGTCGTACCCACCTAATAAACTTGTAACAACAAGTACGTTGTAAGATGGGCAGTTCCGTCGTTCCTATGGCCTTTCGAGCCTACCTTACACGTAGACCCTGGCTTTGGGGGTGTGGGAGGGGGTTCACCAATAATGTCCGAGGCTGATCTAAACGGCGCTAGAGAGATCGGCCTCCCAACAATGTGGGATTTGACATGGATTCATTCGACAGAACGAATAGCGTGGCTTGCGAGGAAGTGGGGTGGAGGGGGTTGGCCTCCCGTTGACGACTGCTCTTGGCTCTTGACTCTCGACTCGGACGCGGACAACACGCAGGACCTCTTGTCGCTCCTGACTCGTCCATTCCCATACGGCATGCATGTCTCGGCGGCTGATGGGACACGAAACCAAGGCCGTCAACCACGTTGCGACCACCCGATGAGTCCGTACGTTGTATATTCTGGAAGGAAAAGGAAAAGAGCCACTGCCTACTCCCTACAGCAGGGTCGACCTCTTATGCGCCCTCTTGTCTCAATATCTGCGAGTAGCTTTGGGTTGCCGGTTCCACGTTTGCACCGGCCCGTTGCGGCAGGCGCATCCTTGGCACATGGAAGGATCAAGTTGTTGAGCGGCTCGCATCTAGCCATCCAGAGGATAATTAGAGGACTGCCTAGTTCCCGAGATTTGGCTGAGTGATAGTGTCATTGCCTTTTTTTTTTTCTTTTCTTGGGGGGGGGGGGGGGGGGTGTTGGTGGGGGTTCTTTTTTTGGCGAGGCTCTCCGACGACGAAACCTTTTAATTCCCGTAGAAAGAGGCATGACGGATTACTGCAACTTTTCAAGCGTTATTGAGGTTGTGCAATAACATGCAGCCGGTGGTTCCTCCGTCGCAAGGCAGGCGGCTTCCCAGTTTGAAATCCCAGTTGGCCTCGTGTTGTATGTAATCGACGGCTGCATCAGCCGTCCCAGTCCGGTCACCTGTTTCTCGCTCTTCTGAGTACCACTACCACATCACCGTGGCTGGACGATCTGCGTTGTATTCATCCCCGCTCCGTTTTAGGTCAGCTGTATCCGTAATTAGCTGGTGGCTGTGGCTGATGGGCTTCAAGCAACCCACCGAGAAACCATGGGTTACTTCTGTCCGCTATGGTCTCCTATATAGGAATAACCGTTAGCGAATCATCACAACCGGCGCTTCACTTGTCGCCAGTCAACCGTTTTTCATCACTTAATTGCCGACCGTTCGTTGCTTTCAGTTCACATCGGCATTCGTAGACTCGGCCATGTGGAGGTCAGCTGCAGCAAAAAGAAAAGACGGCGAGATGAACCGGCTTGCTAGTCGGGTCACCTCGAGTCATGAGGCGAAGAACTTCATAGGTCGAAAAATTCGGACGGCAGTTTAGATCATCAGTTCGGATGCGTTTAGAATGCATCATTTTGACCACTCTTAACCGTGAAGGCATTGGTTGGGTCTCCAGAGAGGAGCAGGTAAGTGGACACTGAAGGCCAGCAGACCAAGAAGCGAATTTAAGCGGGAAGGATAGGCGCAGAGTGGCAGCTGAAGCTGGATGGAACTCAGTCACCCTACTTCGCCTGTGATGGTGGGCATCTCTGGGACATTCTGTACCTGCCGCCTATTGTTGATTTTAGCAGGGTAGGTCGGCCGTTGGTCCCAGTGACGCGCCGAGCCCCAAGAACCATACAGGACCACGTCTTCCGTTGATGTCGATACGCGGACTGTCCTGACTTGGTTCCATGGGAGATCAGTCACGACCCCAGCCTAGCGCCTAGCGGATCAAAATAAGGAGTCGATGACCCTGGCTGCATGGGTCAGATGGCATACAGAATTGGATTGCCCAGGAAAGCGCATGGTAAAGGAGGGGATGCAATAGTTCATCAGAACTCGTGGCATTAAACCGAAAGAAGAAGAAAAGCGCCCGTCCGAGGCAAGGTCGAGCTAAATTGAGCCGCCGTATCTGCGTGCCGGCGGGCGGCATGTCTGTATGTCTTTTGAAGCTGCACCCTGAGAATTCAGGGGCGGATTGAGTAAGGTAGCTCGCCGAGGACGGTGACATGGGAAGATGCATCGATATCCCAATGGTTTTGGCAGGCCAACATAATGATATGGTGGATTTGCGAACACTACTTCGTATTTGCTCATCACCTCGGCCAGTCTGTGAATGGTGGTTTATGCACCACTGGAGAGGGGTGTCATTCGAGTTGACCCCACCAGAGATGGACTGATGGCTTATAGGACCCACTTTCCCAACCCCAAGGAATGGACCCAAGAAAGGGAGGAAGGGCTGTTCCTGTTTCGCTCTAGCGTGTCCAGGATAGCATACATCAATATGTTTCAGATTGACTTGTACCTGCTTTAGACATGGGTTCAGGGACGGCAACTGCCTTGAATCTGATGAAAGGGTGAAGGAGATAGCTGGCCAGAACAACAATCCTAGGAGCTGTAGCTCGTCGGGGATATCCACGGAGAAAGAGGGACAAGTGGCTTGACGCGGAAAAAATGAATGGAAGTATCCGTACGGAGTAAGAGTACGGATACGTTGGTGAGGCGAAACTTCGATCACAAATGTAGGCTCCTTCTTCCAATGCAAGTGCATAACACGGCTTTTGGCCTGAACACTTGCATTCGAGCCTACGGAGTACAGAGTGTGCTGGGAACTGCCGATACCATAGGTCTAATAACGAGTATCGGTATAACGTGGGTTTCTTTCCTACAGATGCTCGAGATACCTATCCATATCGGAGGTCCCCTGCCCAAACCAAGCCTTATTTTTACCCAACATGTTACACAAACGAATACGGCGGTTGTAATATCCTCATCACAGACCGAGTTGCAAGGCCGGTTCTCCCAGCTGTGCCACCTTGGACTGCATCGCGATCCGTCAACTTGCCTCTGATTCCATTTATGATGTACGAAGCATTACGTGGTGTCAGGTACTGTCTTGACCCAGTTGGAGGTGCCTTATCCTTGTACGACTGTATGACCGTGTGACTGTGACCAGCCAGCCTTACGGCCCTGCGTTGTCCCCCTCAGCACAGGCCCAGCAAGCAGGGTAGATAATATGTACATACCTATGTACTCCGTATATAAGGTAAGGTAAGGTACCATGCCTTATACAAGGTAGAGTACGAAGTACTTCGTACTTCTGTAACGACAAGGCCCCTTTCACGACGCGTAGCAGCCGGACTTGTGCCCCGACTTGACGAAGCCAACCGGGAAGAATACTAATTAAGGCAAGATGCATGTGACCTTTGTGCAGCAGCGGAAAGAAATTCTTCCCATTTGCATCTTTATCTTGATTGCTGGCGTACTGCGTGTAAGCTGGTCACCGAAAACCGTACGTTGTAACGAGGGCGGTCCCTTGTCTTTTTTTTTTCTTTTCCTTAATAATTTCGTTTCCGTACTCCGCCGAGAGACATCATTACAAGGAACAAAGCGGGACTACTCCGTAATCATACCTAAGGTGCTCCTTGTTTATTATGTCATTGTCTCGTCTAACCTCTGATACCTCCGAAAGTTCAAAGTGGAGAAGATAGAACGTCAGACGAAGAATGGGTGTCTGGCAACGAATGGTTACGCATTGGCCTCAATGCGTCCAATGCCATCCCGCCACCGTCGATGATTCGCACCAAACCTCAGAGAGAGATCGAACGAGCTGTGATATGCTTGCTCGAGTACTCGTCGAACGGCTTGCGATGACTGGCTCTGTCGCGTCCATCTTCCGACTGCCGAATACACGAACCCCAAAATAAGGAACGTAGTGCATCCCCGCATTTTCCATTGCTTTGTTTTTCGTCTTACGTATCACCAGATTCCGAAGACTTGTACGTCGCTCATGCTGCAGTAGCTATAGTCAGCCTCGTATCCATCTGCCCGGGCTGCAGACGTTGACGACGAGAATCTTCAACGGTACACACGATCTGCGCGGATGTCCCGAGCTCCAGGTATTTGTTGACGCGCAGACTCGGGCCCCGAACTGCCAGTCAGACCAAGATCTCTTTCTTTGGCTATTATGGTTTCCGGGAGGCCTTCGAGGCCGAGAGCTCCCTGTTACTTCCCATAATCCCCAGGTTGCGGGCCCCGGGGACTTTCTTCCGTCTTGTTGGTTTTCGAACCAGCCACCGTTAAGAGATGATATAAAAAAGCAATTGGGTACATAGGTAAGGCAGGCATCTGGCGGGTCTTCATATCGCTGCGACCAACAGACATTGTTTCATGCATATTCCGCGCTTCGTACTTCCTTCCTCCCCCTTTTCATGTTCCTTCCCCCGGAAACCCAAGACTACAGGCCACCGGATACTTCCTCCGCTCCAGACTTACAATTTAGGCTGCTTGCGATGTTTCTTGCAGTCTACGTTGTATAAACGCGAAATATCGAACATAGATATCCGCGGATGCGGCTACCATTCATATATAACGCTACCTGAGCTCACAACAAGTACGAAGATTCTCCAACTTACTCCTTAATGCAAAGAGCACCGACAGGAGGGTGTCATTGTCCACCACATGGGTGTCAGCCTATCATGACTTTAAGGTGGTGACCAAGTGGTTCCTGCTCGAATATCGGACAGGATGATTGACTCTTAGCAATGGCAAGCAGGAGTTAGTTGTTCGTACATATTCGTATCCCTGTACACACGACCAGCCTTGCATTGTATCCGGCCTTCGTACTTCGTACGCATATATGATCTTCGAAGTCATTACTCCGTACGATGAGTGGAGGCCTTGACAATGAGCGTTTGGTCGTGACCCCTTCCTCTTGGATTCTAAAAGTTCAGAGGAAGGTTAATTAAGTGAAGTCCAGATTCGGTCGGACAGGGGGCATGTTCTTGGCAACAGGGGTGTCTAGGAGCAGGAGGGGGGGAAAGGAAAGGAGAGGGTGGAGAATTCTCCAAAGGGGGCTTTGTGGGTGAACCCCCGGTCTGCACCTCCCCTGCCCCCGTACTAAAACAAAACAGAAACGAAAGTTTAGCAAGAGAAAAACAAAAGAAGAAAAAAAAGGAAAAAAAGGAGCAAAGCCCCCTTCCCAACGTACATTGGCTGAAAACCCCCATCGAACTTGACCTTCTAAAGCCCCTCTTTGACGCACAAGTCGGTCGAATATCACACCAGCCAGCTGCTTCGATGTCCTTCCCTAACAACATGGCAGGTTTCCTCAGCTCCCTTGTCCTGCTAAGAATACAATGTACGGACGAAGTACGAAGTATGTACATCTTGTCTTACTCGGCATCCTTTTCTGCTGTTCACGCCCCTGCCTGTCGACATGACTGTTGTGATGCCAGAGCTCCGAAGGTACAAGGGATGGCACCACGGCGCAATCATTCAATCCGTACGCTATTATTCCAGCGTCCTATTTTCCCATATCGGTGTCTTTCTCTTTCTCTTTCGTGTGTCCTGCCTTATGGTACTCTTTGACGGGGGCAGCCGAGGTAATAAAGTGTCAGTCAGTCTGGCCACAATTCAAGCCGTCCCACCCTGTCAACGACTTGTAACAACGCGACTAGACGAATACACCCCCCCTCCAACTTGTTTCTTCTTGGTGAATAGCCCCCGGTACCCGGTTTCCCCTTCCCCTCCAACAGTAGTCATCTCACTCTGATACGCACTGGTAGTGAGGGAAATAATCCAGGCCTCTCTCACTGCCAGTCTTCTCCACAGCGGCCCATGCCCCAGCCACAGAGGAACGACTTAATCAAGGGTGGCTCTTACCTCGTGCGCAGATCCATGAGCCATCCTGCCTACCCTGCTCGATTCGTCTTTTAAGTCCTCGCACTCTCAAAATCTCCGTTGGGGAAGCTTCGCTGCCAGCTCCTTTTCGGGACAACCACCCCTCCATTTCACACCGGGCAACCATTCCGCTCCAAATCTAGGACATCGCTTGACCATTTTTCTTTTTTGTCCGTTTACCAGCGTCCCTGGGCCTTGAACCGGACTCCTTCTACGTGGGCCGTTTTATTCCTTACTATTCCTACTTTGGCAAGCATTTGACTATGAGCACTTCGGCACCAGTCAGGAACCTATGACTAGATGAGGGCCGGGTCTACTCGTGGAGATCATCACCACCTGCCTCCCCATCCTCTGCCATTACTACTTCTAAGCTGGCCGTCCTCTCCAGCTTGTATCTGAAAAGGTTATCCCCACCGACACTTCCCCAATTCTTCTTTTTCTCTTCTTTGTCTTCTTCGACTTTGTTCCCTCCCACCCCCCCCCTCTTTTTTGATTATTTATTCTTTTTTATTCTTCTTTCTTTATTCCTGTTGCTTTCATCCTGTCTCTGTTTTGGATCCGCCCACGTTCTTTCCACTCCCTAGTCTTGTATTTTTACTGATTTTTTTTTTTTTTTTTTTTTCCTGGGATGTCTCTACCTTTTATGCCGTTCTCCACGCGACCTATGCCTTGAGTCTCAGATGCTTCAGACCCGAGAAGAGTATACATGACCATGCTCACAGCTAAGCAACCAGTGCATTACGGCTACAAGTCCGTCCATGATCTCCCGACGCCGCCTTCCACATCCCGACTTTCTCCTCCTTTGGCCTACCAAGAGCCGTCTCACTCCCGACGGCCGTCAATTCCTCTCAGCCACAGCCCCCAGGACCAGCAAATGTCGTCATCAGCGCCGCCCCGAGGCCTTCCGCTCCCGGCAGCCATGGCTCTCCCCCCTCATCAGTCTCACGCTGGCGGGACCCCTTCTCAACAGCCTCCGCCACCCGGACAATCTTCCACGGTCCAGGGCCCGATAACACACGGCCATGTTCTGGGTCAACTGCCTGGTCCGCCACCGCAGTGGCAAGGCTCGGAGGACTCTATGAGGAGCTGGCTAGCGGCCAAGTCCGAAGAAGAACGTCGGAGACAGGAGGAAGAAAGGACGAAGCAGGAATCGCTGCGTCTCGAGCAAAGAAGAATAGAGGCAGACATGCTGCGGACATCCCTTCAGGGGGGGATTCCTCCCGCCATAGTACCGCTCGTGTTCGCCGGAATGGGGGGCGCCGTGTCCCCCGCCGCTTTAGAGGCTGCCCAGCATTACCTGGCATCTCCGGTACAGGGGCAGCATCCCCAGCTATTGCCTCCACAGGGGCAGAGGTCGCCAGAGCACCGGCGGGACTCCCAAGCACAAGGATACAGTCAGTATACCGGCGTGCCTTCTACTCCCGGCTCGGCGGGCCCTCACGGGTATCCGGCGTATCCTGGGTCTCCGACAACGAGGGTGAGAGCGCAGACCTTATCTTCAACGACGTCAACAGGGCGTCCACTAGGCCCGGGCGCTGCGCTCCCAGGTCTGAATAGCGGGATCCAGCAGTCTGGCCCATCTTCATCCCTTCAGAGCCATGGCGCACACGCCATGGCGCCGTCGCAATCGGCAGCGGGGCAACAAGAGTCGCATCAGAGCACGGGCATTTACTTCCATCACTGGCAGCCCCCGACTTCGCAAGCCGGAAGCTCAAACCAGCCTGCGACACCTGGTGCGTCCAACAAGAGCAAAAGAAAGCGAGAGTCGCTCTAGGCTAACCTTTGGCTTGTGAATGGTGCACAGTAGGTGGTTCTCCCAGGCAGAAACGCAAGGCGACAGGCGCTCACCCGGCAAACCCCCCTCCCAGCCAGCAACGACCCCGATCTCCCGGTTCGCAGAGCGGTTCAACATTAGGGAATCCTCCCCCACGTAGAGGTAAAGGACATATGCGCCAGCGAAGCGACATTTCAACCCATAGGCCTACTGGGCGTGGCAGCGGCGAGGGTATGGGACCCGTTGGGGAACTAGCATCGCCACAGGGTACCAGCACATCGAAGGAAGGAGAGCCAAGTCAGCCACAGACGCCGCAACAACGACCCAGCAGGAGTGGCGGCGGACATTCGGTGTCGTCACTATTATCAGGAGAACCACAACTACCTGAGAAGTATCCTCTGGCTCCCGCGACAGAGTTTAGGGGACAGCAACAATTGCAAAACCCACAGCACTACGAGCGACCGCGGTAAATGCCGGTAATGGTGACCCGATGGGCAAGAATACGGGTCAATCTACAGGTCAATCTACAGCCACATGCAGGACATCTCATCCACACCTAAATTATTCCAGGCTCTTGGAAGGGTCACCCTCCCCGGGGGCTTCTTTTCGAGTGTTTCTTGGTCCTTGCCGTTTCGTTTGGTGCGATCCTCCTCATGCCCCCGGTCCGGGGCGGGGAATGTTCAAGGAGGCTTGACCTCCTTCTGTTCATTTTAGTTGGATGGGTGATTTTTTAACTAGGGAGGCTGGGTCTGCCGGGAGCCGAGTCACCATTGACGACCGGCTATGCTTTGACTTCGTCAGGGGCAGTCCTGGGGCCTTCTACTTTTCGATTCACCATGTACATGATTTTTATTTCTGTGATTTTAACACCGGAAGGGGGCCCAGATGGCAGGGTCGAAGTTGTCTACCACATGAAAAGAAGTGTGATGACGGCACACGATATTCTGATGATGCACAAGGAAGTGGCTTATGGGCCAGGCCCAAGGGTGCCAAATAAAGAAGGGGAGAGTCAGTGGGGGTGCGAGAAAAATTGCCCTTCGAGCAAGGAGAGCCACCGGTTTCAAGATTTCAGGGATTGGTTATCTTTCTCGCTTGTTTGATTATTACCCTGGGCGGCAGAGATCCACAGATTTCTAGATGGACCTGAGCCGAATGCTAGAGTGAGAGCAATGATCCTGTCAAATCATTAATAAAATCGTGCATTGCACTTACTCTGCTTTCGAGGGCCGTTGTTGGCGTCAGTGGGAGCACAAGAAGTGAGTGTTCAAAATCTACGTCGGTGGCTTTCCGGACGCAAGCCCCGCAAATGCATCGGAGAGATCTTCATCAGCCGGGAAAGATAATGTCGGTATTCTAAAGAGCTAGGCCGCATTTCTACATTGAAAACACCGCAATTCCATAGACCCTAATGTTGGGAGTCGGGACGTGCAGTCGAATGTAATTATTGTATTTCGTATCTGTACTGTACGTAAAGTATGTATTTCCTAATCATACCGTTATTGAACAATTCGTTGCAAATATATTTACTTTATGAGTTGGTTTATTAATATCAAGTGATCTAAAAAAACCATCCATAGACGCCGTCGCGGTTTCGAACTTCAACGGCTTCTTCTGTTGGTACTTTATTAGGTCGGCAGCCCTTTTAAAACCCATCCGAGATAATCTTCTGTGCCTCTCTTTGCCCTGGTGTCCCCCCCTCGTTTTACGAATGCCCATAAGTCCCCTTCAAGGGCTCAGCACACGCACAAAGGTGGGTTACGAATTCGAAAAAGTACTCGCCATCCAGGCGTCGTAACATTCATCCAGCCAAGCTAAAGGCACGAAGGAGGCGCACCCCTCCACCCCCGCTTTCCTGATACGATCGACCGGGAAATTTTAGAGCGCTTTGACTGGTCAATTTCCAACGGCTCTCTTCCGGGAGGTCGGGTGCGGGTGTTCGGTTCGCGACATGTGAGACATAACGGACGGGTGAAACGCACGTCCCTTGCTTTAACTAGGTATTATCGAGGTAGGTACACGTGCACAATAACCGCCGCCAGGTAATTATACGCGCGTACGTTTGTATTTGATAGTACAAACCAAGTAATAATTTCCATTCGTACATGGAAACGTGAAGCTTTCAGAAGAACATTCGTTTGAGCCTAGACAGACCTGCCTCTTTTCCTGGATCTCTATTACGCCTTGAGATGATATCTGCCTTATTTTAGACTTGGCATGTTGAGGTGAATTGTACTGAGTATTGTTGTTGCACCTCTCTTGGCATCTTTATGAATGTGCCAAAACCAGATTTCCCGTCAAACACGTCCCATATTGAGGCATAGCGACGTTTCTTCTTCTTCTTCTTGTTTTTTTTTTTTTTT